CGAACCTGGGACCCTTCAGTCCGCAGGCCGGAACTGAGCCAAACCAGTTAGGGCTTTGCAGCTTCTTTTGTGCATTTAGGATTCCGGAGGGAAAGTAAGGAAGATGAAATGAAGGTGGGAGAAAGCCAGGCGGGTTGGGTTCAGATTAAGACGATTATGGGCTCCTTGAGGATATTTACGCCTTTGAGGAGTCCAGAAAGAGCTTACTCCAGCAAATCAGGTGTGTTAAGCTAGATGCTCAGAAACATGGGACAGGGCTTGCTTAACCCATTGTACACCAAAAGCATCCTTAGATGCGAGTGGCAGACCTTCCCCATACACCACGGGTGTCTATTAAAAAAAGTGTTTTCCCTAAGTAGAAGCCCTGACCAAGTTGAAAATCATTTTTCGTGAGAATTTTCAGCTGAAAATACTCAAGAACACCTGACTTGGGAGAAATATATTTTTATAATATTCATTGAGTTGATTTTTTAAATTAAATTAAAAATATCCTGGCACGTGGGGATGGGTTCTGTTTTGGACAGTGGTAGTAACTGCTTAAGGCAAAGATAAGCCTTTCACTAAAGAAGTTACATGCTGCCCGGCTGGTGTGGCTCAGTGGTTGAGCATCGACCTATGAACCAGGAAGTCAGTGCCATGAACCAGGAAGTCATTGCCGGGAGCCAGTTCCAGCATGTCAGCAGGGCTGAGTCATCTGGAGATGGCCGAGGGCATTTCCCCACACCTGAAAAGGATGCATAAAATGATTGCTTGCTGCCAGGCAGCTGAGGGCATTTCAATCTACATGTTATTGCCTCCTACTGGCCAAACACCTGAGCAGCCGTAGGCAATTCCTCCAATCTGACAATGGATTCTGTATATACTAAACCTGGCCTTTGATGTATATCTACTTTGCCTTAGGACAATTTGTGTTAATAATAAGCAAAGGGGTCCTGAAACAAGGGAGAACTTAGTTCCTTAAGCTAAGTCCCCTCTGGCATCCCAAATGCCTTCCAAAATTATGTTTCATCTCTGGACTCTTTAATCATTAACACACAGTGCCTTCTCCAGATTCCAGAATGCTTCTAGATGCTGGATTAAGACCACCGGCAAGTCAGGGTTCGATTCCCGGTCAGGGCACATGCCCATGTTTCAGGTCCGATCCCCAGTGTGGGGTGTGCAAGAGGCAGCCGACCAATGATAATTTCTCATCACT